CACCTTTAATACTGGCAGAATACTTTCTAAGATGTGTGGTTTTAAAAATATTTAATGGACTTTTATTTTGTACATGTTGATAGTTTTTTAATAAGTACCCATTACAAATTTAGCACTGTATTGTACATGAGAAAAAAAGAGATACAATCCTTGTCTTCCAGAAATTTCAATATGTTTGGTAAGATAAGACAAATATAAGAATGATCAAAAAGTAATATATACTGAATCACTAAACTGTGAGAATAGACAGTATATAAAAATTTATAAGGCAGATTATTGAAGAGTTAAGAAAATTTGTCTGAGTTACCTTTTACAATTTAGAAGTCACTGAATAACTGACTTATTGTTTAAATCAACTATCTTTAGTGTTCCAAAATATTTTATTTTACTTGAATTACTATCCTAAATTACCTCATTAATGACAAATAACTTGTCTTTACGATCCATTTTTGTATCTATAAAAAGAAAAAAAAAGAAAGTAAATAAAAGATTTCAAAGCTACTTCAAACAAATCATACATGCTTTCTAAAAAAGTATTTTAAGTGTTTTTACAATCTTCAGTTTAAAAGAGATTTTATTTTCAAATTAGACCTAAAAACACATGACCTCTTTAAAAATCTTGTTCATTTTTTCTAAAAATGGCTGATTAGAAAACAGTCCTCGAGAATCATAAATTATGATCTAAGCAGTGTTTCTAGTCAACTTTACATATTCCACAAGTCCCTTTCAAATATGGAAACATTCTCACAAATTGAACTATGTTCTAGGATTGCAGTTTAAGGAACACTCACTGAAGAAACTAAAATTTGAACTGAAGAAAGTTTCTTTGAATTCTGAATCATAGTTGTCAAGGAAATGGACTGAAAAAAACTTTCAGATTATCACAGAAAAAAAATTAGATCTCTTCTTAGTTTCAGAGATATAAAGATACGAACAGCGGACCCCAGTTTGAGAAACAGTGGTCTAAGGAACAATGTTATTACCTAGAATTAAAGCCAAAAGCATCTTCCAACACAGGCACAAAGACAGCTGTATGATGGTACTGCCACAGTTCTAAACTTAAAACTTCACTTGCCTGCAAGATACACCATTGCTAAAAAGAGTATCTTGGCATTTAGAAGTAGGCTGAGCCCCAAATTAAAGGTGCTTCAAATCCCACTCTGGTCCATTAACTTTCTAATCAGAACAGGTTTTTTTTGTTTGCAAAAAAAACAAAGATAGTAGGGCACCTAGGTAGCTCAGTGGTTAAGTGTCTGACTCTCGATCTCAGCTCAGGTTTTGATCCTGGGGCTGGGAGTTCAAGCCCTATGTTGGACCCCACACTGGGTGTGGAGCCAACTTAAGAAAAAAAATGCAGATAGCAATACATGGCAGTCCTCAATTACTTAGAAGGACAAACCAGCTCGTGACCTCTGAGAGCATTACAATGACGGCATTCCTGGACCTTCAAGAAATGTTTTGATAATAGGATATCTAAGAAAGTGAAGGGAATATTTAATGAATTTTGTAAAGAATTTCTAACAAAATATTAATTGGAAAAATCTTGTCACTGTTCTGAGGCAACAGAGTTCTTTACCTGAAAAGGCTGAACAAATGACAAGGTTAAACAATGACTTCAAGTGAGAATATACAGATAACTTTATAAATAAGAACTTTTAAAGTGTATGATATAAAGGCACCTGCTTTAGAATGAGGCATCAACATTCTCAAGTCTTGCATTAAATGTCTTGTTCTGAAATTTATTCCTCTGGAAGAAAAGATGAGAATCCGTTCCTTATTTTTCCACTTGCCCTAAAGAAAAAGAAAATGTTAAGATTTTTAAATCTCATACTGAACCTACCTTGTTTTTTTTTTAAAGATAGTTTTAAAAGTATCTCTTTCTTAACTACTCCACCATCCTCTAATGTATCAAGACTACATCCTTAATTCTGCCTCTCTCCCATGTATGTAATTCAGGGAATTGAGATGTTTCACTATACATAGAATCTTTCCACCCTTGAATTCAGAACAAACTCCTCAGTCAATATTCCTTTCACAAGAACACTTTAATATTAATATTTACTAGTTCCTACCAGGAGTCAGGCACTGTTCTTATGTGGGAAGATAGTCAACAAGCAAGCAAATCAATAAAGACATGAAGGCAAGAACAGCATGAAACCCTTATTTAGATGTTTTGCCATTTCTCTGTATGACAGATAACCATAACCATAACATATCTGTCATATAGGGTAGAAATGGCAAAGCATCATGGCATCATGTGATTATGCAAAAAAGGGAACTTAAAAAGTCCCCATTTTTTCTTAATAAGACAAAATTTAGATCCCCTATCCAAAAAAGCAAGCTAAGGTAGCCCTTAGTTCTAATAAAATAACACAGCCAATGGAAAAGTTAACTTCTTGTATGTAAGGTAAGTAGAGACACAATAATATTCATAAAAAGCTTCCAGGGAGTAAGCCAAACAATCCTGACAATCTCTCAGTAGTATTCACTGACCATGGCTGCCTCCCAGAAATGCTTTCCTTGGCTTTCTTCATTTTTGGTTTTTCTTCTTCCATCTCTCCAATTCCTCCTCCTGACTCCAAAGTGTCTTTCCTAGCCCTCTTTTGGTTTCTGTTCTCCCCAGGACAGAGTTCTCATAATCATTCCATAGCTTCAATTGTCAAATCTATAGAAAGGTAAGGAACTCTCTCCACTCCTAATAAACCAAGTATTTGACTTAATACCTCAAATTCAACTCTAGAAAACTAAACCTTAAATGAAGTTTCCTGTTAAATGATGCAACCATCATTTCCATCCCCCAGGCTTTGAATCATCTATTTGCCCTATTCTCCTATATCATAAGCACTACTAAATGCTGTCAATTTCGCTTTCAAAACAAGAAGATATCAGGAGGGGAAGAATGAAGAGGGGGAAATCGGAGGGAGAGATGAACCATGACAGACGATGGACTCTGAAAAACAAACTAAGGGTTCTAGAGGGGAGGGGGGTAGGAGGATGGGTTAGCCTGGTGATGGGCATTAAAGAGGACATGTTCTGCATGGAGCACTGGGTGTTATACGCAAACAATGCATCATGGAACACTATATCAAAAACTAATGATGTAATGTATGGTGATTAACATAACATAATAATAAAAAAAATAAAAAAATATACAGTAAAAAAAAAAAAAACAACTCTTAATGTCTCTTAATCCCCTCCCATTCCAAGTACCCACATTCAGATCCTTATCATCTCAAATCTCCCAAATGGCTAGCCTTCCCAGACAGGTGTTTTTCCAATAGGTTTGGCCGACAAGCACCAGCTTAGTCTTTTTAAAGCACTGTTTCAATCACATCCTTAACCTCCCAGGATTTTCTAAACAAACTCCAATACAACATAGCTTTAACGCTGGATTCTAAAATACATTTCTACTTTTACCTCACTATTGCCCTAAATCAACCCTACCTTTTAGCTAATCTGGCTCTATTTTCATTTTTCCTCCACATCAATGCCTTTGATCATTTTTTCTTCTTTGCCCTTGTATTGTTCCCTCTCATTTTTGAATACTAAAATTGTGCCCTTACTTTGAGATCCAGCTCAAGGGCTGATCCCTTACCTGACTGTCCTAGGGTAAAAGTAACCTCTACCTTCTGTACTTCCATAGAATTTCTCATAATATGACTCAGGTCATAGATACTACCCTATTTCCTTCCAGGTTAAGGGAAGAGTGGGAGCACTAACATTTATTGAAAATCCTCCAGAAGTCCAGCTTATTCTTCATAAAAAGTAAATCACATTTTCTTCTTCTTAATTTGCAGATGACAAAAGAGCTCAACACGTGGACATTAATTATCTGTAGGGCTAGAATTTAAACTCATCTTTCATCCCTCAGAGCTAACTCCTTTCCTAGTGCTTGCCACCAGAGTGGTCATTTATCACCTACTACCTGCTAAAGTACTATGCTAAGGGCCAGGAAAGTAGAAATAGAATCAAAATAGAAATAAATCAAAGACCATCTTTGTGTCCAAAGTATTCGACCTAGCTTATGGAAAGGAAGTTAAGCCCAACAACTTGTGTTCACCTTCTCTTGAATACAAACCATGAACTTACATGAGTTCTTAAGTTTCCTTCCAAACTCCCAACACTTCAGAAAGAAAGTCACATTCTAGTTTAGCAATCCCAAAGCCAGAGGAAACCTAACTTCGTACAGTACCTGACCTATATATACCAAGTCTGAATACGAGAAAAGTTCATTCTATCTAGTCTAGCTTTCATCATCCCTTAAGAGTTAAAAACCTGATCAGGCAAGTCAAAGTCATTATCCCAAGGGCAGCAACTTTTTAAAGGACCGCCTAACAAGCTTCAGGATCCCTGACTGACAGTAGCTATGGCGGAATAAGGGGACTAGTAACTTCTGGAAGATATATACTCAACAGCGAGAAATAACTTTAAGGAAAAGCAATACCACCCCCAAGGGCGGGAAATGGAGTAATCAGAAGACACAACACTGGGACTGAGTACCCCAAAGGTTGCTTCTCTGTGAACCGTTCCGAAGCCCGCCCGCTTCCTCGGCCGCAGCCTCCAGAAGACGGCCACGTGCATGAGAGCTAGCTGTAAGCGCGGTGTCTGACCGGGAGGAGAGCTGAGACCGAGCTCCGGTAACAGACAGGCAACTTCGAAATTAGCAAAGCTCTCATCAGGGAGGTGGCCCCAGGGAAGGCGTGTAGAGCCGCAGGTGTAACCTGGATGAAAGCCCTCTCTACCTTGCAAACGGGGCCTGGGATACGGTCTCTCTCTTCTTCCTCCGCCTCTTCTGCCATGTCGCGCAGCTTAGCTGGCTGCTTGGCATCTTTTTCGTTCCTTTTTGTTTTTTTCGCCTGAACCGCCAAGCCTCCACGCCGCTTCCTCTTGGTCGCCGCCATCTTGCCTGACCGCCTTCGCTCTCGGCTTTCCTTCCGGCTCTGCCGCTCGCTCCCCTTTCCGATCTCTATGGTACCGAGCGCTCGGCTCTGCAGTCCCCCGGCTCGATGGTACCTTTTTCCGGTTTCTGGTGACGCACGCGCAGCTCTCTAAGCCGCCTCTGTCTCTGAGGTGACGGTGGCCGAGGTGGCTGTGTGGTCTGCAAAGAGTGGCGGGAGCGGCTGCATTTCCTCCCCAGTTACCCGGGAGGCGCGGCCCGGCTTCTTCGGTGACCTGGCTGCGAAGGGCTCTCGGGCGTCGGATCCCGCCGGAAAGGTAAGGTTTCCGCGCCCCGGATCCCGGGGCCAGTAGATAGATGCCGCCTCTCGACGGGTTGGTGAATGGGGTTGTGTGGGACTCGAGGATCTTTCGAGGAATGGGGGCCCGCCCTCTATCGCCTATTCTGTTAGGGTTAAGGTTGGGGGCACCGGACAGCGCAAACCCGACTCTGCGGGGACACGTAGTCCCAGTTTGGGGGGACTGGCCCTCCGTAGAACTACCGTGTTAGTTGCCTGTTTTCATTGTTCACAATTTTTCTTGTGTTACTAGCCTCTTACTAAAGACGAGGAAATCGTAGCTTAGAGTGAAGAGTAATTTCCCCCCAAAGTTAGAGAGTTGAAGTGGCAGAAGTGGGGTGCAACCCCTGTCCGGCGGAGTTCGATGCCCAGGCGTCTTCCATTCGCCTCAGCGCAGGTTGACATCGCGGGCCTTGCCAGTTTGATCCGGAGTTTTATTGTCGAATCTCATCAGGTGTTTGGTGATTCTCGGCAGCAAGTGTTGGCACCGGGAGCATCCCTTGGGACCAAATGTGCAGTGGACGATGCCCCTCCTAACCCCACAGATCCAAGACGAGAATGACTACAGCTTAGTGGCCAGCCTTGACAACGTTAGGAATCTCTCCACTATCTTGAAGGCTATTCATTTCCGAGAACATGCTACGTGTTTCGCTACTAAAAATGGAATCAAGGTTACAGTGGAAAATGCAAAGTGTGTGCAAGCAAATGCTTTTATTCAGGTATGGAAACAGGCATCTTTTAAGTGATTTGCCAACAGTCCCGCAGTTGACAAGTGGCTGAGTTGGGATGAGAACCCAAACATTGTTTCCAGAATATATGCTCTTGGCCAATACTTCCCTTTTCCCTTTTATTGGTTATAATCTGTCATTACAAAGTAATATATGTATGGTTCAGAGAGGATTTCAGACTTAATCAAACTTTTTTTTTTAAAGATTTTATTTATTTGACAGAGCACAAGCCGGAGGAGTGGCAGGCAGAGGGAGAAGCAGGCTCCCCACTGAGCAGGGAGCCCAATGCCATGGGGGGCTCAATCCCAGGACTCTGGGATCATGACCTGAACCGAAGGCAGATGCTTATCCAACAGCCACCCAGGCACCCCTAATCCAACATTTTTTTGAACACCAAAGTGCACAGTGTGACCTCAGGTATAGAGGGATAGATAAGACATGGTTCCTGTCCTCAAAAGAAATTGAAAACTAGTATCACTCATGCATTATCAAATTGTTTGGCTGTTTTCCAAATGACTTTAGCCCTGTCGATGGGCAAAAAATGAGACAAGGGAAAGTCATGTGGGCGATAGTTTAGATCAAGAAGCTAGATGAAAGACCTTTCATAAAGTTTTGCATGGTGCTGAAATCAGTTAGACCTTTAAATGCTGAGTAGTAGTATTCTAATGGATAATAGTTGAAAAAGCTTAAGATGTTTTGATTGGTAATCAGAAATTATTTTCATGGGGTTAGCACAATATTGTTATTTTTAAAACATATAAAGTGAAATCTCGAACCTTGTGAGTTTTCACTAATATATATATACATTTTCATGTTTACTTTTTTTCACAGGCTGGAATATTTCAAGAGTTTATAGTTCAGGAAGAGTCTGTTACTTTTCGAATAAATTTAACTGTCCTTTTAGACTGTTTATCTATTTTTGGATCAAGTCCTATGCCAGGTGAGCCATTTTATTATGACACAAAAGCATTATACAGATGGTCAGAAAAATACAGGAAAAGTTATTAGAAGTAAGAAACATATCTTGGAAATTGCAAATTCATTTTTCACTGGTCACAATCATGGATTCTAACTTTTCACATTAATAGAAAGTGTACTATAGTTCTTTCCGTATTTGCAAAAGTATTTATATTAATCTTTTTTTAATTTACAAAGTTTTGGGGATTTTAAATTTGAACTGGCCAATAGAAGACTTTGAATATGTGTTAGCTTTAACATTGCAAAATATGTATTAAATGCTTCCTTTCCCTAACTTGTTCAGAATTACACAGTTTAGTGGCCAAGAAAAACAGAAACCAATTCTCCTCACACTTAGTTTACTGTGTTCAAAATGTGCTTGCTTTTATTTAAGTCCTGTTTATAAATTGTCTATTTCCTGAAATGTTTAATTTTAAAATATATGTGTTATTTTTTTAGGAATAGTGAATTCAGTTGCTATGGATATAAAATTACAAGGAATCCCCTGAAGAATGATTTCATTTCACAGGAATCTAGAGATTAGCTAGGGAAAGTTCAGTTGTAGTTCTTTAGAAAATATATTTTAATTTTGTACTGACAATTCCATTATTATTATACATTTTTCTTTTTTTTTTTT